ATCCAAAAACCTCGACGCCTATGATCTTCCTCACGTCCTTCCGCTCGACACCGTAACTGTCTATACTTTAAAAATACGTCACTCCGTAAGATTTCCAGATCGAAGTATAGCCCATCGACTGTTTTGCAACACAGCTTTAAGAAAATATCAAAATGTCGATTTTTTTTTGCAACTATTACTGAATCCCCATTGTTTTTTCATAGTTCAGCAAAACGATCGTACGCTCTTGCATCTACATCGGCTATAGATGGTCATCTAATTCAAAATGAATCAGTGTAATTATTGAAGACTGGGAAAAATTAAGAGAGGTTTTTTGATAATATAATGAATTCTGAAGAGCCATACCGCAAATCAGTTCAGCTGCGAAGGCTTTTTAAGAGATTTAAAATGATTTTGAGTTCACATTTTTAGCAACAGTTTTTTAGCAACATTTGTCATATAACAGATATTTTTATATGATGTTTACTATCTATCTATCTAATACTGCTTTTTTTGTTCAAGTATCTCTTCACCCTTGGTTCTGGTATCATCATCATCATTCCGCAATCTTTTGCATCCACTTTTGGGTATAGTTCTCCTCCATATTCTTCCATTGTTCTCTATCTTGTGCTATCTGTATCGAATTTCCCACTGGTTTTCTCAAGTCATCCATCCATCTTTTTGGTGGTCTACCTCCAATTGGTTGTTGATTCTCCATCCTCCAGGTAACGGATAGGGGAATGCCTCCTATCCGTTATAGATATAGGTGGTACCGGGGAAATGAAATACTCGGGGCGGACCAAAACCAGTAAACACTGCAGCGTCTGATCTAGAGTGGTCGGCTGCAATCAGCAGCAGAATCGAAACTCAAAACCCCGTTTTTAGGAGGCGTTGTGTTTTAAACCGCCAAAAAACCCTCAATGCAATGTCAAGGTTCAGAACTAAAATACGCCAGGCAAGCATAAAGAATTGGATCTAGTATAAGTGCCCTAAAAAACTGTTTTCAAGTTATTGGGACCCTAAGCTCTATACATTTTTTTAACGAATTTTTAATCAGATTTGGGCGCGACGTAGGTACCAAAACTCCTTTTGACTCCGACAAGCTTTAAACTGCTACTGGTAACTGCTACTTACCGCCGCTGGTAAAATCTCAACAATTTTATAGTGTTATCTCTTACGACAAATCAATAATCAGAGTTCCTTGCATTAGTGCCGCACACTATACATTTAAATTCAAAGTAATGGTTCGGTCCTGGGTAGTAAAAATACAAACGTATGTCATATTTAGGTGCGAAATTAAACTCCATTTTATCTTGTCGTATTAAGGACACAATGAATAATGTTATTTACTATATGCAATGGAAATGATCCATAATTTTAATTAAAAATGCGTTTATTTTGATTTTTCTATTTATAGATTATTAATAAATTATTACTTTTTGATTAGTGTATTTATTTATTACGATCCGAAATTCGGCAACAACTTTCGTTACTTTCAAAAATTCTGTCGGGTCCTTCGATACTCCGTTGTATCGGTTTATTATTATTGTCTTCGACATTTCCTTCATTTACAGTGTGAACCATTAGCTAGATTTGTTAAATGAAAATTTATTTAAAAAAAACTGCTATTTTTTGATTCACTTCAAAATATTCAATATGAATTAACTTTCCATAGTAAAAGCACAAAATCATAAATAGTAAATTAATCCGTGTAGATTGTCCTACGTGTTAAAAAAGTTAAAATAAAAAGAAATATTTTATTAACCCTTTAATCGGTAATCCCGCCATAAGGCCGGCATTAAAATAACCGAATTATTTTAAAATGTAAAATTTATTTGCTTTCACGTCGACTACACCGCTTTTCGGCAAGAATAGACTCGTCCAACAGTAACGGTTTAAAAGCTGTAGGTTCAGTTAATTGAGAGATATGGTCAGTTACGTGTAAGCAAGCAAGTGAATCGTACGGAGAAATTATTGCTCTGGAACACGTGTAATCGAACCGTAAAATAAAATAGTTCTAGTTGTCCAATTGATTTCATTTTTTTTTGGTAAGTACTTATAGTATGTGTTTGATAGTTTGCTGGAATATTTGGTGAAAAATATAAAATTAGTACTGGTTTTTGAGTGTGGAGTGATACCCGCCTTTCGGCCGGCTTGCCGATGTACGGTAAAATAAGTTCTCCGCGTATTTGAATAAAAGTACATATTTGTATTATTTATACTTTTATTATTTATACATTTCTTTCTTTCTATCGTAGAACATGGAAAATAATAGATCTCAAAGACGAAGAAAGTATGGTGCGAAAAGGTATCACGAGCTGACAGACGCGGAAAAGAGGACAAAATACGATCTTTCCACAATAACCGATGAACAAATCGACGAAATCATGAACTCTAATCTGGATTCAGATGACGAGTCAGTTTACGAAGATGATGATGATAGCATAGCCGATCCGGATTATGACTACAAGGCGGATGTGCTCACAGCCGAGGACGATGAGATGATTTCTTCTTGTTTACGTGAAAATATCACTGATTTGGAGCTCTCCATGGACCCTCCGTTAGAGCTAAGTAATATCACTGATGTTAGTGAAGATTTAGTGGGTGTTTCAGAATCACATGTAAATATATTTACTTCTGAAACGGCAACATTAACTTTGCCGGAACTTATAATATCCGAAACTATATCACCAGAAGTTTCAACAACTGATCCGGATACTCAAATGGACGTTTCAGTATCATCCGTACGGTTATCATCAAAAGAACCAATTGCATCAACTTCCACACAACTACCGACAACCACTAAATTCAAACCAAAGAAAAGACCCAGATCCCCGTTACCAACTGTAGAAGCTACGGGACCACATATAGTACCATCAGCGGGTGGCTTCACTGGCACAGGTATGCTAATAAAACACGGAAAGTCATAATGCCATACTAATTTTTTTCTCTTTTTTCTTTCAGGCTTGGATGCAATCGACAAAAATTCAGCAGAGTTCACAAAAATTGTATGGAGAAAAAAGTCAATGCAATTGCATGTCAATGAAGTCGCATTTCGAGGAAACACTACATTGCCGTATACTGTAAAGAATCTGAAGACACCAATGGAGTATTTTTGTTATTTTTTCACGGATGAACTCATCGACCTGATTGTTTGTGAAACCAATCGAAACGCACGTTTGAAAGACATAAACACACAATTCAACGTTGATGCGGTGCAGATTCGACGATACATCGGAATTCTATTATACATGTCTATTTTTCGTTATCCCAACATGGAGTCACACTGGGGAGAATTCGGATTTAGACAAATTCCTCAGTGTATGCCATTAAAGAAATTTGAACGGATAAAAAAATATTTGTGTTTTGCTAATGAAGCGGAGCGTATTCAAAAAGGACAACCTGGACATGATTCGCTTTTTAGAATTAGAAGAGTTGCCAATATTTTAAATGAACGCTTCAATTCCGTTCCAAAGAATGCGCGGTTATGTGTTGACGAGCAAATGTGTTCGACAAAAATGGCGCACCATTTACGCCAGTACATGCCGAACAAGCCCCATAAATGGGGAATAAAGTTGTTTGTACTGTGCGATACCACGGGATATTCGTACCAATTCGAGATATATAATGGTGCTGGAGATAACATCATCGTGCCAGGAACACCAGACCTCGGAGCTACCAGCAACGTTGTTATTAGGTTGTCACAAACAATTCCAAATTTCAAAAACCATATCGTTTACTGTGACAATTTTTACACATCGTTGCCCCTTTTAGTTTATTTACGAGCTCGTGGAATCTTTGGACTGGGGACAATACGTGCAAATAGAATTCCCAATTGTAAACTTCCGCTGGATGCAGATAGAGAAATCAAAAACGCCGAACGGGGTTACGCAGTGGAGTATATGGGTTGTGCATATGGTGTGGACCTTACCACTGTCCTCTGGAAAGATACCAAAAACGTAAAACTTTGTTCAACTTACGTTGGGGTCCAACCATTTCAGAAATTGAATCCAGACAAACAGATAGCAAAAACGACTCGTTACGACAAAAGAAAGAAAGAATACATTGATGTCGACTACCCCCAAATAATTCGTGAGTACAATTCGCATATGGGAGGAGTTGACCTCATGGACTCGCATATGGGACGAAGTGGACTGCGCATTAAAACAATGGATGCAATGACACGCATCTTTTACCATTTTCTGGATATGGCTGTCACAAATGCGTTCATATTGTATCGCAGATCACATAATGAGGATGCTGCGAAAACAGATTTCAAAGAAGAAGGAACTTCAAAAGAAAAAAACATGAGACTATTCCAATTTCGTGTGAAAATTGCTCAAGGTCTGTGCTCTTCTGTTCAGAAAAGACCCATTGGTCGACCTTCAAACTCACCGCTCACTACTAATAGTACTAATACTGGCAACAAGGCAGCGCATCCTGTTGAAGATGTACGTTACGATGGAGTTGATCATGTTCCTGAATGGATTCCAGGTCGTAAAAAGTCCTGCAAATACTGCAAGAAATCGGAAACACACACTTTCTGCCCGAAATGTCAACTGCATTTATGTTATTCCGGTGCCAAGAATTGTTGGAAAGACTACCACGTCCGTCGTTAATATATTTCATTTTTTAGTATTTACCTGTTAATTTTTTTTATCAAGTTTATATCAATAAAAAATTAAATGTTTTTATAAGCAACAAAAAAGGACTAATTCATTTTCCCCTATAGAACGATATACCGGCCGTATGGCCGGCATTCTTCTTTTTCACTTTGTGACTGACTCAATAACGATATCGAAAAATGGACTTTCTATTCGTGTTTCATTTACCAAAATTACCCCGAAACCAAAATTTTCAGAAAGTTTAATCCCCTATTTCTATTTTGCCGATTAAAGGGTTAATAAAATCGACTAATCTACTGTGCTACATGAGTTAACTGCAATAATTTTTGTATTTCATTGTTTGATTGAAAAAAATATACTAAGCATGAAATATCTTTGATAATTAAATAAACCCACCTGTCCGATTATAATTCTGTTTAAAGACGACCGAGTATTTCGTCTTACAGAAGAACTACTAGTTTTCTCAATAATGGCAATGTCAGTTCTTGCTGCTAGTAAATCAGCTAGGTCTACGTCGGGCTCAACTTTTAATAATTTACGTCTGTCGTGATAAAGTTTTTCAAAAACATCATCTTTCCCCTTTGTTCTGTCTGACCACTAAAATAATAAAAAGGCAATTATAATCAAAAATTTATACGGAATAAATTTTATAAGGTAGAATCTACGAAAATAGAATCAAAGAGGTTCCTTCCTTTTCCCAATATTCACAAGGAAAAGTAAATTCTTGTAGTTGGCTGTATACCATAAATCATAAAAACTTTTATTTAAAAAGTGTTTATATAATATATATAATATATAATATGTAATATATATATATATATATATATATAATATATATATATATATATATATATATATATGTATACTCAGTGACATTAGAAGTGTTACACGTCCTCAAACAAGATCCAGCACAATTGGACTCAAGGTGCTCAAGATCGAATTCAATGAAATTATTTACGGGAGGTCTACGTTCAACAGTGGACTCAAAAGGCTAATTACGATTATGTAACACTTGATTTGATGCGATGAACTAACGAACAGCTGTTTATTTATAAATGATGTTAATTTACACATAAATTTACCTGAAATGATTGTATGGTAACATCCAATCTGGTAAGCAACATTTCTCTTCTAATTTTATATTCTGAGTGTAGATCTTCCTGGACTCCATTAAGTACTTCCCACTGTTTGTCAGATAAATATCCATTAAAAATGCCTTTTCCAACTATATCCATACCGGCTTTATTTACAAACAATTGGAATTGTAGGGACCAATTTTTGAAATAATGTTAAAATAGAAATATTAGCAGGAGGTTTAGGAAAACGAAGAGTTTGGAGAATCAACCTCATGTCTTTACCTTCTGGAGTTTCTTGCTAAAAGTATTTATTCAATATTAGATTTATTAAAAACATGTGCATTAAACTGTAACATTACAAAATTAAGAAAGTTTAGGCTTTTCACTGTTTAATATTATATATATATATATATATATATATATAATTATATATATATATATATATATATAATATATAATATATAACAGTCCTCTCTCTCTATAACGATATGCAAGGGACCGGGAATTTTCATCGTTATAAGGAGAGATCGTTATACAGAGAGAGACAAAATTCGGTACTGTAATATTAATAATACTGTACTAAATAACCTATTTTAATTTAAAAAAATTATCAAAACGAATATAAATGACTTAACATTGTATTCCACATAGATTTATTAACGAATAATATAAGCAATACAGTATAAAAAATGACTGTGCAATTAAAACATGTGTACTGTACAATAAAAAAATAAAATGCTACTGTAAAATATATTTAGCCTACATTATCAAAAAAATCTGTCACCTTGGTCTGTCTTCTTTTCCCTTTCCACAGAACTGACCTGACCTTGTCCTGAAGACGCATCGAATCTTCTACAGCACTCATATCGTCTTCCTGGTGGATGAAAAATCGATGCAGTACTTTTGCCGCATCCAATGCCTGCTGAGGGGTCGGAGCTGGTTCTGACTCTGCTTCCACTTCAGAGTCACTGTTTTCTTCTTCTTCTACACGAACTGCTTGCAGGATGTCCTCGTCAGAAAGTCCAGATGTTGTAGCTACATTTTTATCAACTTCTTCAAAATCTGTTAGCTCTTCCGGTCCGTAGGTGATAGTAAATTCAAACTGTCTGGCCCAAACATCTAATGGCAGGTCATCTTCATCATAAGCCAATCCTTGATCTTCCAGCCATCCTGCGTGTTTGAAGGAATGTTGTATTGTATTACTCGTCACCTCGTCCCAGGATTTACTAATCATTAGGATGGCGTCAAGAATGTTTAGTTTAAGATCGCCATTATTCTCAACCAATTCCATCAAAAGTCTTCTCCTGTAATGGTTTTTTAAACTCTTGATGACACTTTGGTCCATGGCTGAAGGACACTCGTTGTGTTTGCTGGCAGAAAACAGAGTTCGATGTTTTGAAGGTCGTGCAATACAGATGAGCAGGACAATTGTCTACAAGCAAAAGAATTTTTTTCCCTTTAAGCTCGATATCCCACTTTCTTATCGCTTCTTCAAAAATTTCCGAGGTCATCCACGCACTCTTGTTTGCTTTATATGTCACCGGTAGATTTTTTATGTTTTTAAAGCAACGCGGGTTTTTCGACTTCCCTATCACTAACAATTTTCGCTTCACCGAACCTGTCATGTTAGCGGCTACTAAAACTGTAATGCGTTCCTTAGAGAGCTTTCCACCAACGCACTTTTCCAATTTAAATTTTAAAGTTCTGTTGGGTGTCATTTTAAAAAACAATCCAGTCTCATCCGCATTGAAAATGTCGTCTGACGCATATCGTGCCTTCAGTCCAGGCCACACGTTTTCTAGCCAATGATCCGTTACGTTTTTGTTAACATCGCGAGCCTCTCCGCTGATTTGGCCGTAGTTGATCTTGTGCCGCATCTTCCACTTGCTCAGCCAACCCTCAGATGCCTTAAAATTCTCAATTCCAAGTTCAGTTGCAAAAAATTCAGCTTTTGTCCTGACCACAGGCCCAGAAAGTGGAATATGGTTCATACGCTGCTGCTGGAACCACTGAAGCATAGCGCGATCTAAATCTTCGTGCTGAGGTTTCCGCAACTTCTTCCTGCTACCGCCCTCCATCTCCGCTTTAAGCCACTTTTTTCTGTCCTTCCATATCGTAGCCACAGTTGACTGAGACAGCCCCGTCCGGCGAACGACATCCGATTGCTTTTCACCTTTCTCTATTGCTCGAGTTATCGATAGTTTTTCCTCCACCGAGAGCACTTTACGCTTTTTTGAAAACATGTTGACTGTTGGCACACTAAGACGCAACTCAAACTGGAAATTAAAAGTCGTCAATAGATGACAACATCTGTGTGATAACAGTTAATTACGCCGCCCGAACAATAAACGTCACTTAACCCTCTGATAAGAAAGAGTGTATGCCGCATTCCTTAAACGCAAAACAAAACAACCGCTGAACAATGACCTTTTCATTCGTGACTCAGGTAGTCTGAACTTTAAATACAATAACACATTTGTCATCAACTATTGAACGCTAAAAAAGTTATCGCTATAAAGAGAGAACGATATCGGTATAGAGAAAGAATTAATACATTGTTCTTATGACGAACCAACCAACGTTTACTATTTTCATCGTTATAGAGGAATTATCGTTATATAGGGAATCGTTATAGAGAGAGAATACTGTATATATATACAGTAGTCTCTCTTTATAACGATTCTCTATATAACGATAATTCCTCTATAACGATGAAAATAGTAAACGTTGTTTGGTCCGTCATAAGAACAATGTATTAATTCTTTCTCTATACCGATATCGTTCTCTCTTTATAGCGATGATTTTTAGCGTTCAATAGTCGATGACAAATGTGTTATTTTATTTAAAGTTCAGACTACCTCAGTCACGAGTGGCAAGGTCATTGTCCAGCGGTTGTTTACTTTTGCGAGTTGGGTCTTAGTCAGTCAATATGTTTTCGAAAAAGCCTAAAGTGCTCTCGGTGCAGGAAAAGTTATCGATAGCTCAAGCAATTGGATGTCGGGGCTATCTCAGTTAGCTGTGGCTCTGATATGGAAAAACAGAAAAAAGTGGCTTGAAGCGGAGATAAAGGCGGTAGCAGTAAGAAGTTACGGAAATCTCAGCAGCAGCGTATGAATCCATCACTTTCTGGGCTGGACAAAAGCTGAGTTCTTTGCAATTGAGCTTGGAATTGAGAATTTCAAGGCATCTGAGGGTTGGCTGAACCAGTGGAAAACTTCGGCATAAGATCTACAACTACGGGCAAATCAGCGGAGAAGCTCGCGATGGTAAGGGATGATTGGCTAGAAAACGTGTGGCCTAGACTAAAGGCACGATATGCGTCAGACGACATTTTTAATGCTGATGAGACTGTATTCTTTTCTAAAATGACATTAAACACACATACACACACACAAACCTACGTTACTTTAAAAACATAAAAAATCTACGGGTGACCTATAAAGCAAACACGAGTGTGTGGATGACTGCGGAAATTTTTGAAGAAACGATAATAAAGTGGGATAATAAAGAGCTTAAAGGGAAAACATTCTTCTGCTTGTGGACAATTGTCCTGCTCATCCTGTACTGTGCAACCTTTAAAACATTCAACTTTGTTTTCTTCCAAACACAACGAGTGTCAATTGAGAATAATGGCGATCTTAAACAAAACATTTTTGACGCCATCCTAATGGTTAGTAAATCACGTAGGATGGTTGGAAGATCAAGGATTGACTGATGATGAAGATGACCTACCATTAGATGTTTGGACCAGACAGTTTGAACTTACTACCATCTACGGACTGGAAGAGCTAAACAGATTTTGAAGAATACAGTGACCCGGAAGTGGAGGCAGAGCCAAAACCAGCTCCGAGTCCTCAGCAGGAAACCAACCTCACTCTCAAATTTCTATAAAGTAGCGGGTTTTGCAGAACCCTCAACACGCAGAGGCGTTGCAGAGCACATAAAGAAAATTAAACAGATCACAGACGAGCGGCATGCCCTATACTAGGCCGAAACACCACGACAGCAACTAAAATCCAGGAAAAGATTCCTTGGAACAGTGCAGGATAAATCGCGTGAGTATATTTTTCTTCCCCAGGTTCAATGGACCGGCCAGTTCCTAGACTTACTTGGAAAACTATAAATAGGATAAGAACAGCGGGGGTCGCCCAGTAAAATTAAACATGGTAAAATGGGGGAAAATAGACCAAGATAATGTGAACTGTGACTGTGGAGAAGCAAAGAATATGGAACATCTTCTGACATGCAGAAATTTATGGCTCGCCAACAAAGATGGAACCGACGTAGACCAATAATGGGTCGAAATTTTATGAATGACATGAATGTCCGGACAAGATAAAAAAAAAGCGGGCATTGAATGCGGCAAAAGTACTGCATCGATTCTTCATCCACCAAGAAGGCGATATGAGTGCTGTGGAAGATTCTATGTGTCTTTAGGACATGGTCAGGTCAGTTCTGTGGAAAAGGAAAAGGAAAAAGACCAAGGTCACAGACTTTTTTGGGAATGTAGGCTAAATATATTTTACAGTAGTGTATTATTTTGTTAATGTACAGTACACATGTTTTAATTGTACAGTCTTCTTCAATAAATCTATGTGGTGTACAATACAGTGTTAATTCATTTATATTCGTTTTGATAAATTTTTTAAATTAAAATAGGTTATTTAGGACAGTATTATTAATATTACAGTACCGAATTTTGTCTCTCTCTTTATAACGATCTCTCCTTATAACGATGAAAATTCCTGGTCCCTTGCATATCGTTATAGAGAGAGAGAGGACTGTATATAGCATTTTTCATATAAAAATGCTTGCACGTCACAATGTATATAAAATGACGTCACTTATTTTTAAAATTTCCAGAACGTCAATCTTAGAGGTATAATATGGTATAATAATCAGAAAAATGTAATTATCGTTGATAAGTAGCTTTGTTGATAAAAAATAGTTATAAAAAAATTATGTTTATATCATTTGTTATTAATACACTTAGTCTCCTCGGAACCTTAGACTAGATTAGATTAAGAGAGGTGGCCTTTCGGCCTATTCCACTGCGACCTTTTCAGATCTATTGTGGTCCTCTAGTCCTAGATAACATTCTCTAGCCTGACTCTTTTTATAAAGACTAGTAGCTTCGAGACTATACCTTCCATGTAGCTATTTGCCGGTGGATTTTCTTCTCCTAATGCAAAGAACCGCACATTTGCCAGACAGTCACACTGACATAAAATATGCTGTGCTGTTTCTTCTTCGAGGTGACAGAATCTGCACAGGTCATCATCTAATAATCCCATCAGC